GAGGGTTATTTTTGTCCCCTTTGAGATATTCCCTAAATAGCAAACAGGTAAAGCAGGAATACTGGGATTCTACTGTATATTGCAATTTAGCAACACTTAGATATGATTAATTAAATAAACATAGTAGTTTATCTTCTTTCATACATATATCGTACAATGCTTAACTGTTTCCTTGACAATAAACTAAGACTTAAGGAAAGATACAGATCATGTTAATGAGAAGACAAAGCTTAAGCATTATCTAAGAGTGCAGTAACTGGTTAGGACTCTAGGCGCCGCTGTTCACCATCTAGGAGATTCAGGCTGCACGCGCGCACACCCCACAACCAAAAAAAAAAAACCAAAAAAAAAATGTAGAACCTCCATCACCGCCAGATTGAAAACGGTCTCCCTGAGGCTTCCTACATCCTACTTCTGGACCACTTTCCGCTGTGAATTCTCCTGAAATTTCAGTTAATTTAGGCTCAGAAGAGCAGAGAAACAATACTCTTGGTACTGGACTGGGAGAAAACTGTGAGGCAAGTAAGCAATGGCGATTTGGGTGAAGCTGCCCCGCAGTAGCGGGCCGGTCCTGCTGTTTCTTTCTCTGGGGCTGTTGTTGGAAGCATGGGCCGGCAAGATCCTCTACTCGGTGCCAGAAGAGACAGAAAAAGGCTTCTTCGTGGGCAACATTGCCAGTGACCTAGGGCTACAATCCCAGGAGCTGGCGGAGCGCGGAGTCCGCATCGTCTCCAGAAGTAGGACGCAGCTTTTTGCTCTGAATCCGAGAAGCGGCAGCTTGGTCACCGCGGGCAGGATAGACCGGGAGCAGCTCTGTGCTCAGAGCGAGCGGTGCCTGGTGAGTTTTAACATTTTGGTACAGGATAAAATGAAGCTTTTCCCTGTTGAAGTAGAAATAATTGATATTAATGATAACACTCCCCAATTCCAGTTAGAGGAGGTGGAATTTAAAATGAATGAAATTACCACTCCGGGTACCAGGATCCCTCTGCCTTTTGGGCAAGACCTTGATGTGGGTATGAATTCGCTCCAGAGCTACCAGCTCAGCTCCAACTCTCATTTCTCCCTGGATGTGCAACAAGGAACTGACGGGTTTCCACACCCAGAGATGGTTCTGCAGAGTCCCCTGGACAGGGAAGAAGAAGCTGTCCACCACCTTCTCCTCACTGCCTCTGATGGAGGCAACCCAGTGCATTCAGGAACCCTTCGCATTCGTGTTCAGGTGGTGGATGCAAATGACAACCCTCCAGAATTCACTCAGGCACAGTACCACGTGAGTGTCCCAGAGAATGTGCCTCTAGGCACTCGGTTGCTCATAGTAAAAGCCACTGACCCAGATGAAGGAGCCAATGGGGAAGTAACATACTCCTTTCATAATATAGACCAAAAAGTAGCCCAAATATTTCAATTGGATTCTTACACGGGAGAAATATCAAATAAAGAACCCCTTGATTTTGAAGAATACCAAATTTATCCAATGGAAATTCAAGCTCAGGATGGTGCAGGCCTCATGGCAAGAACTAAGGTGCTGATTAAAGTTCTTGACATAAATGATAATGCTCCAGAGGTGACAGTCACCTCTGTCACCACTGCAGTCCCAGAAAACTTTCCTCCTGAGACCATAGTTGCTCTTATCAGTGTGCATGACCAGGACTCTGGAGACAATGGTCGCATTACATGTTCCATTCCTGGAAATCTACCCTTTAAGTTAGAAAAATTAGTTGATAATTATTACCGTTTAGTGACAGAAAGAACACTGGACAGAGAACTTACCTCTGGATACAACATCACAGTAACAGCAACAGATCAGGGCACTCCGACTCTATCTACTGAAACGCATATTTCATTGCAAGTGACAGATGTCAACGACAACCCCCCTGCCTTCCCCAAGGACTCCTACTTTACTTACATTCCGGAAAACAATCCCAGAGGAGCCTCCATCTTCTCTGTGACGGCCCATGACCCCGACAGCGATGAGAATTCACGAGTCACTTACTCCCTGGCCGAGTACACCTTCCTGGGGGCACCTCTGTCCTCCTACCTCTCCATCAACTCAGATACTGGCGTCCTGTATGCGCTGAGATCTTTTGACTATGAGCAATTACAAGAACTGGAACTGAGAGTGACTGCTCATGACAGCGGAGACCCTCCCCTTAGCAGCAACGTGTCACTGAGCATATTTCTGCTGGACCAGAACGACAAC